AATTAGCCTGGTGTCGTGGTGTGCGCCTGTAATCCGAGCTACTCAGGAGGCTGAGGCAGTAGAATTTAGTGAACCCGGAAGATGGAGGTTACAGTGAGCCAAGATCATGCCATTACACTCCAGCCGGGGTGACATTGTGAGACTCCGTCTCAAAAAGAAAAAAGGCTTAGAATTATTTGACTGGAGGTCAAGCCTACCACCTGTAGTAAGAGGCATGTCTCATGACCTCCAGCCTTACCCATCACACAGGGTAAATTTGAACATGTTTGGCATCTTAAAATATGCAGTGGAGCATCCCAATAGACAACCCTTTTTAGATAGACTTTAGTGAATTTTAATTTAATAGTAATTTTGTGTGTGTGTCTGATGAGGGGATGTCTGGAGAAGGATATCTCTTACTATTACATTAATTCGATTCAGAAAGGGAATTTTAATGATAAAATGTATGTAAAATTTTGTAATTTACAGTAATCTAATTGGTTAATTAAGCTGGTGTACCAATGAGTCTGCTTTCAACATTTTTAATAGGACTTATCTTTTTTTTTTTTGTTCTGTTGTATTCTGTGCCTCATTTCTATGATTATAAAGATACTTCTAAAATAGACCTTATACTTCCAGCACATTCTTGGTGTGATATATTTTAACAAGGTAACTTCATTTCCACCCTGCCCACAGGTCCAGGCCAGTCTTCACATAGTTAAAGTCTTTGAGAGACCTCCTAACATTGTCCATTCACTTCTTCAGTTTCTAGATAAGATTGTTAGCTAGTTCTTCTAAAAATCTGTATATGTTCTATTTCAAAAGATCTCTGATATCACAATAAATTAAAATATTGATGTCCAAGCCACATTTTTAGCTTAAGGAAATGACCCCCTTAACCCTTTCTGTTAAATTTTTCTTAAATTTTGTTAAATTTTACTTACTTATAAAGTAAGTAAACTACCTCAACAGGCTCCCCAAGGGACCTCTTTTTGTGCACATATCCAGTATGGTGGTTCCAAAGATAGCATGTCTGCTGACCACAACATAATGCTCTATAACTCTTAGAA